GCACGGGCGCTCCTCCGGGAGCTCGGGCGGTCGCTTCCCGCATCCTCCTCTGGCTCGCAGGCCATTCGTGCCTCGAGGCCGCCCTGGCCAGCACGTGCACGAGGTGGAGAACGGTGAAGACTACGATGAACACGACGGCGACCTGGAGGAGGCGCAGCACGACGAGGGGGAAGCAGACGACCAGGACGACGGAGACCCCGGAGGGGGCGAGGGCATCCTCTTCGAGGACGGCGCCGAGGTCGACGAGGAGCTGGCGTCGGACAACGACGGGCCTGACGACGAGGAGTGCGAGGCACCGGAGGATCTTCAGGAGGCGTTCTTGGCCGGTTGGAGGGCCAAGCAGAAGACGGCAGTGCAGCGTCAGAAGCGCGGATTCGTTGCCCCTCGGCAGCGGGACCCCAAGAAGATCAACGCCAGCGGCTCTTTCCAGGCGGGTCGCAGGACGACTGACCAGCGCAAGGCCAACAGCCGGTGTGCTGACTGTGATCAGTCCGGCCACTGGCGTGGCGACCCGGAGCGCCCCAAGGTGAAGAGTGGCGAGCGCGAGCCGTGCAACAAGACCGGGCCCAAGAGTGGCCAGCCAGCGTCGCCCAACCAGCGGAGCTCTGCGAAGCCGCCGGTTCCAAGGCAGGTGCATGGGCCGGTCATCCACTGGGTTGGCATGGCAGGCAGTGCCGAAGAGCGTCGTGGCCGCGCCCCATGGCGCCGCGCTCCCCAGTCGGTGCCTGCCCAGAGGCATTCGGTAGAGGTCCGAGCCGATGTTCCGGGGAGGACCGTCATGAACCCTCGACCCAAGAGTATGCCTGCACCACGTTTATACCAGAAGACCGACGATGACCCAGAACAGGGCAGTGATGAACGTGCGCGCGCCCTTGCAAGGCGCGGAGAGGATCAGGAAGACGAGGATGCATGCGTGCGTTGCCATCGCATCCTGGCCAACACGCACGCAAAGGGGCGCAGCGTGGAGTTGGAGTTTCCTGACCTTGTGACGGTCCATCACATCGTGGAGCGTGTAACGAACAAGAAGCCCATCTTCTTCAAGCAAGGCCGCTTCGAGGCCATCGACTTCGTCCAGGGTCGGCTTATGCGGCTGCAGCTGACCACGTCGAAGCCTTGTACGGCGGCTGAGGTGGATCTTGATGAGATCACGGCGACTATGTTTAAGATCGTGATGGGCGGAAATCGTGATGCCAAGCACCGCGACGATCGGCGCGGTGAAGGCGGAGGCCGTGACACCAAGCATCGTGAGGATCATCATCGAGATCGTCGTGACGACCGCCACCGCGGTCGGGGAGCTGTTCTCCGTGAGCATCGCGCCCCTCCTCCGCCCGAGGTGGGGGCCTCATCGCGTTCGAGGTCGCGGAGTGCGCCGGAAGGCCGCGGTGAGAAGGAAGAAAAGAAAGAGAAGAAGAAGAAGGCGAGGAGCAGCAAAGAAGAGGAGAAAGAGAGGAAGAAGGTGAGAAGCAGCATGGAAGTGAAGAAGGAGGCCGAGGTGAAGAAGGAGGATGAGGCCAGCGAGGAGGATGAGGCCAGCGAGGACGATAACGATCAGCGGCGTGAGGATAAGGAGCTGCCGTTCACGCCGGAGGAGATGGGCGAGATCTTCTGCAGCTGGTATCCGCGCCAGGACATCTTTAGGGATTGCCTGGCGCCGCCGGCAACCGTCCACTTCATCGCGAAGAGCGACCGCATCGTGCGACTCAACCTCTACACGCGCCGCTGCGAGAAGCCGGATTTCTCTCCAAGTAGTGGCCCTGCGAAGGCCCACCCAGTATTCGTGGTGGACGCCGCAGCGGCGCCGTCGGCGAAGGGGGCATCGAAGACGAAAGGATCAAATGTTCCGGGGGAACCTCCCGGGGACATCCCAGACGGAGCTGCGCCAGGACTACCGTCCGCCGCACCGACTGGGGAAGCCGCCGCCGCTCCGAAGGACGAGGACTGGGTCATGGCAGGAGCCTCCGAGGACGCGAGGAAGAGTGAGGAGAAGAAACGACTGGAGGTCTTGCAGCGTGACATAGCCGAGTTGCTGGACCGCCTCGCGCTGATAGAGAAGCAGGAGTCGGAGATGCATACCCGGTTCAATCCAGGCGAGGTCCACGACGGCCTGCAGATGCGACGTGAGCAGGCACCTCCGCCAGAGCGTGCACTGCCTACATCTCCTGCGCAGCAGGGGGTCGGAAGCGTGTGGAAGAACATGGGGGGAGTTCGACGACGTGCTCATCTTCCAGCGCCTCCAGGAGCCGCGAGCTCAGGTGCGCCTGCCGCTGCGACGGCATCTCCAGCCGCATCTGGAGCCCCGCGCGTAGTCACTGCCTCTGGACGGAGCTACGTCATGAGTGCCGGTGCCACGCAGAGCGACCTGGAGAAGCAGCAGATGCACCGAGCCATGTACGACTCGCAGTTCGACGGCGAGAGGCTGGTCCCAGGTCCGAAGGCGAAGTTCGACCCAGAGCTCATGCAGCAGCAGGCTGCGTGTTCTCATCCGGCGGACGAGATGAAG